GGGGAGAAGTGCCTTTACTTTTGGTCAAATTCAAAGCATAGGCTGCCCCCATCTTGGTGAAGTCTTGCAATTACATAGAAAACCCTCAGAATCCTTTTTCTAACACATGACATGCAGTCTGTCAGGGAAAGCCAGAATTGCAGACTCTTGGTCGGGGTTTAAGGAGAGCAAGATTAACTCTGCTCTTACTTAAACTTCTGAGTGGTATTTTGGTGTTTTGTTTGTCTATTCCAGTGCAAAATGGCTTCTTTACAATCAGCTACAAGTAACTTGATCAAATCAGATAATTACAGTCATTACTACAGTTTATAACTGGCTTCATCTTCTGTGTGATGCAGTTACAACATGGTATTGAGGTCAAAGGAACAATACTCTAGCAAAAGACAAAAGAATGACTTTGAACATTAACAGTTGGCTATAATATATCCGACTCTATCTTGTACCTCATATTTATATTCAAGGACAACATTTCATTTTTTAAGTTGTGCTAGTGAGGTGAGACCATCACTTTCAATGGCTTTACTTGATTTTTTTGGGGGGGTATAATACTTAAACTAAAATGTTTTAGCTTTTTCATTACAAGTTCTGTTGGAAACTGCATCTATCTAACACTTTTTAATGGTATTCAGAGCTATCTGTTTCACAGGTCTCCTTTATATCGAGTAAAAATATTTGTCAAACCTGTAATTTGGTTCAGCTTCCAGTGGCTGCTAGCTATTCAGAAAACACTATACTAAAATGCTGGTTATTTCTAATTGCATGTTGCTCAATTCCTCTTTAAATCCAGCCAAAAGGATGATCTGTTCAGGGGAGAAAGTACACAAGGAGTGAATAAATTGTGAAACACAAGGAAATACTGTAGAGGTTTGGTTTTGAGAAGGAATTATTTCCCTGTACCCAAAGAATTTGTAATATATTCCTTGGCAATCCAGGTGCAGCTATCACTTTCAGTGTAATGACCTCTAGTGGCTTCTGAACCTCTTAGTTGACATATGTAGAAATATAGCTGAGTTCCCTAGAAACAAGGAGCCTTTAACAATTACAGCACACTGGTAGCATTGTAAAGGCAGTCCCAAAGGAAGCTTTTCCTGGAGCTCTGCATAGTCACAAAGACGCCACACTGAACATACAAGCCTGAGGTGTCTTCAAATACGTTGCGAAATCTGGCATAGAAAGCAGGGTTGGATCTGAAAAGGGAAGCATGTAGCAATGTTTTGGAATGATATTAAGAAATTTGTATTTAAGAATTCTGCTCTTGAGGCTGTTGGGATACATCAAACAACTGGAAATGGGTGTCTGGAAAAGCTGTCCAAAAATCCTCCGTTTAAGGAGGCTTTGTATGTAATAAACTGTAGACATTACTTCCAAGAAATCCATTTAAGAATAACACTTGCGATGTGTTTAGATGCCTTTTTAAAATTTTTTAACTGTGTCAATGTTCTCTGCACGTACTGCCACCTGGATATTAATAGGATGGGCATATTGGAAATGCCCACGCTAAATAGATGTATGCAGTGCTGTTGTTGCTGTGTTGGTCCCAGGATATTCGAGAGAAGATGGGTGAGGTAATATCTTTTATTGGACCAACTTATGTTGGTGAGAGAGACTAAATAGGGATTTCTCTTCTGTAGCACAGAACTGTTCTTCTGAGGATATGCTATTCTGGATCAGTCTAATGAGCGCAATAGTTTATATGAGACTAAAAAGCTATCCGGCTAATTATAATATCTGTGGTAGAAACTCTTTGAAGTTACTGGATTTACACTAACAATGAATTTGTCCCTAGATGTTCAACTATAATATCTTCACTACAACTTCCTTGCTTTTGGGAGACCACTGGGATATGTAAATTATGTTGTTGAGTTCTTAATACCTTTAATTGATGGAGTGAAGGTATTGAAACTTTAACAAATGCTTCTTGTATTCAAAATGTTAATTAGTCATTGCAGCTCTGTATTTGTTAATAAAAACAATACTTTCAAGTTTAACGGTCTCTTAATAGCTCAACTTTCACTCCTTTAGCTTTGTGGTGTCAGTTTCACTAGTTCTGTAGCCTGGATATGGTTTTCTGGAGTAGTCCGGAGCTAATTTATAATGTTAGTTAAGGCATTTTTTTAACATCAAAACCTTCCAGGCTACCATTATAACAAAAATAGTCACGAGAATACTTGTGTCTTGAAGGTCACCTTAAAAATAACAAAACCAAAAAAAACCAACCCCAAAACTACCACACACCAAAACCTGAATATAGTTGCATCCCCTAAAGTGATCAGCAGTTACCTTTCAGTCTCATTAGGAACATTATGCTATTGCTCTGCTGCACTTACTCTTCTACACCCCAGCCTTCAGAAAATGACCCGACGCATCAAGAATTCCTTACTGTCTTAGTGGTGTCCCATTCCCCTGTTCTTCTTTCCCTTCCATTCAAGAAAAGAGATTCCCGCTTGTGCACTCTCTTCTCATTCTGTCTTTCTGTTTATGGAGCAGAGAGTTCAGTTCTTTTCTACAGCAGATTGCTCTCTGCACAAGATGACCTCATAGACTTGAAGGTCAGAAGGGACCATCATGATCATCTAGTCTGACTTCCTGCACATCGCAGGCCACAGCACCTCACCCATCCACTCCTGTAATAGACCCCTAACCTCTGGCTGAGTTACTGATGTCCTCCAATCGTGATTTAAAGACTTCAAGTTACAGAAAATCCACCATTGACTCTAGTTTAAAGCAGCAAGTGACCCATGCTGTAGAGGAAGGTGAAAATTCCCCAGGGTCTCTGCCAATCTGACCTGGGGGGAAATTTCTTCCTGACACCAAATATGGTGATCAGTTAGACCCTGAGCATGTCATCAAGACCTACCAGCCAGACACCTAGGAAAGAATTCACTGTAGTAACTCAACACCCTGAAGCATGTGGGATGACAAATGGGTCTATTGACTCTTTGTAGAGTCGGGGTTGGCAAGCAGGTTATGTTGAGGTAGCACAGAAGGAGAACTTCGGGGGTGTCTCCTTTGTCCCCTCACTTTTTTTTGTCCTTCCTTTTTAATGTCTTTTCTTTCCTTTTGTATTTGCTTCCCTAGTTTTCTCTCTCCCTGCTAAAATGACTGTTGCATACCATATTAAGTAGGTAACTTTTCTAAAATAGATGACTGCTCAAAGTACCTATCCTATTTAATAAGCATTTTGGGCCCTGACTTTGATTATCAATGTCACCTTTCGTTGTACCCTAGTATTCAGATGCCTTAGTTTTAGTTATGAAGTTGATCACAATACTCTCATTTTCAGCTGCAATCATCATGAAGTGTTGGGAAGACACTCTTTTCAGCTCGATGTTCACTGCTGCTCCTAATTGGATATGCCTGTGAGGAGAATGAAAGGCTAAGCATTGCTTAGAACTGGTGCACTTACTTAATGAACGTGAACACTGTATTTGGTTTGCAGCATTTAAAATGGTTGGATAAATTTCTCTTCCCATTTTAAAGCCCACTGGGAATGACTGTACCAAATATAGGAGACTTTATTGGGAAATGTGGGGTTTTTTTTGGTAATATTAATATTTTTGAATTCCATAAAGGATTTTAAATCAGTTTCTGAAGGGATCCAAACTAAATATTTGATCGTTCTGTTCTGTCTCCCTTCCTCTCTCCTTGCTTTACAGGAATCTTTGCTTATCTGAACTACAGAGTACCTCGGACCCGGAAGGAGATATTTGAGACTCTGATAAAAGGGCTACAGAGATTAGAATACAGAGGCTATGACTCTGCAGGTATCTAAACTTGCTGCTTGTACAAATGAGCAGTTGTAAACAGGATTATGCTAACTGCTTATCTTTAAATTTAAGATAATATGGCTAATGCTTCTAATCAAAATTTAGCATCTTGATTTGCACAGTATTCTCTCAACCTGGTTTTATACCATTGCCAGGAGAGGATCAAAATTTATCTTGACTATTAATCTGCTCTTCGACTTTCCTTCAAGGGCTGAAAACGTGATTTAATCAGGTGTTTATCTATAATTGAGGTGTAGATCATGTAATCAAAGCAAACAGGATAAGAGAGCATTGTCTATACACCATATATAGGGTTGGGTTTTGGAGTTTTTTGGGTGGGGGTGGTATGTGTCTTGTTGAAGTGGCAGAGGGGGGAAATCAAGGAGGCTTATTTATGTCATTTTAATTTTAACTTGCTAATGTCACTAGGCAAAATCTAGCTGCGGGTCCTTACTTAGGCAAAACTCCTGTTGACGTCCGTGGGAATTTTGGCTGAATTAGGGATACAGGATTTGCCCTAATCTACAGGAGTCCAGTACTAGACTTCATGAGTTTCTCTTCGGAGGCTAATTTTGAAGTAGAGCCATGCCTTTGCATGTGCTTGTCAGTCTCATCTCAGGTTGGACATTTCTTCTAGACTCTTAGACTTTAAGGCTAGATGGGAACATCATGATCATCTAGTTAAATGCATTCTTAAGTAGCTGACACGAATGTCTTCTGAATTCTAGGTGTTGCCATTGATGGAAATAATAATGAAGATAAAGAAAGGTACATCAGACTAATCAAGAAAAGAGGAAAAGTGAAGGCACTAGATGAGGAGTTACACAGTAAGTTTAAGAATCCTTATGTTGGCTTTGTATGTATTGCTGGTATGATATCACCTTAGACATCACAAAACACTACTGCTGATTGCTGCGTTGTATAACAGGCATTAGATTGGAGTGAGTGGTCTGTGATCAACGACACTTGCTGTCACAAAGTAAATCAATCTTCATGCTCCAAGGGTAAAGCCGCAGTCTTCTTGTTAAAGTAAAGCTGCTGGAGGCCTCAATCCACTCTTCATTTTTGGGTGGCTAACATGCTTCTTGAAATATGAGCTTCCTCTTGCAAGCAGTCATACACTTAATGTACATTCTGCAGCAGGCATGGCAGAGCTCTTATTGTTGTACAACGGAAGCTCTTATTAGCACTAAAGCAACTGGTTGTCTTCACAGCATCAGTTTTATATAACACTTCTGTAACCCACACGCCTCCTGGGTGTGGTGTTCTGTCCCATCCAGAGGCATTGAGACCACTTAGAGAGAAGAGATCAAATGAGTCTGCTCTACAGTCTTAGCTAACAGCCAGCTGGCTTTTAGCTCCTGTGGTAGAGGGTCATGCACTAAGCTCCAGGGGTCCCGGTTCAATCCTGCCCGCTGACAACCAGGTTCTGTCAGGGTTCCACTTCCATCTATGAAAAGCAGAAGTTGCATTTCAATATGTCTGAATTGTATCTTCTAGTAATGTGAACTTTTTGGCTTAGTTCATAACTGGTAGGATTAGTTGAAAATGGTTCAACATTAGCAAATGAAGGTTTTAATCACAATAACTTGAACCATCCAAAGTTGAGTGTCATGAAAGTAAATATTTATGGGTTTTTTTGCCATCTTCCAACTGCTTTTTAATCTACTGAAATCTAAAAATGTTGAGACACCAAATTCTATTAATCTTGCATTTGTGTGATTAAGATTCAATTTAAAGCTGATCACTTTAATTTGATTAATTTAATTTAAACTGATTTCCCTCTCTATAGAACAAGATGGCATGGACTTAAAGGCAGATTTTGAAACACATTTTGGAATTGCTCACACTCGCTGGGCAACCCATGGCGTGCCCAATGCAGTGAATAGTCACCCTCAGAGGTCGGATAAAAGGAATGGTAGGTATTCTCTGTACCAGTGTGGAATCCTATTTGAATTTGAAATGTCACCAAAGGCTTCAGAATACAGTAACTCCTCAAGTTTCAGAGTAACAGCCGTGTTAGTCTGTATCCGCAAAAAGAAGAATTAATTGGCCTCTCAGAGTTGGTAAGACAACTCCCACCTGTTTATGCTCTCTGTATGTGTGTGTATATATATCTCCTCATTATATGTTCCATTCTATATGCATCCGAAGAAGTGGGCTGTAGTCCACGAAAGCTTATGCTCTAATAAATTTATTAGTCTCTAAGGTGCCACAAGTACTCCTGTTCTTCTTTTTGCAGTAACTCCTCACTTCACGTTGTCCCGGTTAAGGTTGTTTCGTTGTTACCTTGCAGACCTATTAGGGAACCAGCTCCTGTAAAGTTGCGCACTGCTCCCTTATAACGTCATTTGGCAGCTGCCTGCTTTGTCCACTGTTTGCAGGATTCTCTGGAAGAGCAGCCCCTCCTTGTGGGGATTAGAACCGTGGGGGCCAGCAGCCCTCCCCCCCCCCCCCCACTCAGCTCACCTTACAGGGAATTTAGGGATGTGACTCAGCAGCTGCCCAGCAGCAGTTCAGGTGTCCCTCCCCCCACTGCTGTGCTGTTCCTGACCTGCCCTCTGCCTTGGAGCTGCTCCCCGGTGCTTTCTGGGGGAGGGAGGGTGCTGATATCAGGATGTCTCCCTGCTCCTGCATGCCCCCCCCTTCTCCCCCCGCACCTCCGCTCCACAGAGCGGAGGAGGGGACAGGGCTGAGGCAGGGCTGTCCCTAGCTATTCTGGGGCCCTACGCAGCCCCTGCCCATGGGGGATGTGTGTGGGGCCCCAGGCCTCGGTGGGACGGGGGGAGAAGGCTGGCTTGGGGGGTGGGGAAGGGGCGGAGCAGGGGTGGGGGCCCTGGGGAAGAGCCGTAGCAGGGTCTGGAGCAGCATGCAAGGGCTGGAGCAGCACGCAGCTGCACAGGACACCAGGAAATTTGGGGCACCAAATTTCCTGGTGCCCTACGCAGCTGCGTACTTTGTGTATGGATAAGGATGGCCCTGGGCTCAGGGACAGAAAGGAGGGAGCTTGCAGGAAACGGTTGCTTCCTGTCAGAACTGGCTGATCTGCTTAAAAGGGCAATGTGCTTGAAGTGGGATCAGCGTACTTAAAGGGGCAATGCATGTCTCTCTCACTCATCCACGCACCTCGCAGCACTTTGGAAAGTCAGCAGCTGTGCGTGTCCTGTCAGGAGGAGGGAGTGGTGCACTCCAGCTGGATAGTGTGGGCTCATCATCATGTTCAGTTTTTGCAGGGAAGTGTTTGCAGCTACTGCCCTGCATCTATTGTTTCCTCCCTCCTGCCTCCGTCCATGCTGTCTGTAGAGTGTGAGGCTATATTAACCCTTGAGGGCTCAGCCGAGTGCTAGTTCACCATTTAGCAGCAAGGCATTTCCTGGGAAATATCCACCTCTTACTCCACCACCTCAACCAAGCTTCACAGTCATTCATCACTGTGTACAGTATTAAACTGTTTGTTTACAATTTATACTGTATATGTATACAATTCTTTTTGTCTGGCAAAAAATTTTTCCCTGGAACCTAACCCCCTCCCCCCATTTCCATTAATTCTTATGGGGAAATTGGATTCACTTAACATCGTTTCGCATAAAGTTGCA